CAAGGGTTGGGAACCACTGCATTAAATGAATCAAAATGACAGTAAAGAATGTGTTTATAATGCTACACACTAAGTTTCAAATAAATGCTGAAATAATTTCCATTTCAAATGTTGCTGAATCTTTTATACAAAGAATCCAGAGAAAAACGTATCACTGTTTCAGAAGAATATTAAGCAAACTTTTTTCAACATAGATGATAAAAATAATAAATGTTTCTTAAGCAGCAAATCAGAATAGTTTCTGAAGGATCATGTGACACTGAAGACTGGAGTAATGATGCTGAAAATTCAGCTTGGCATCACAGGAATAAATTACATTTTAAAATATATTAATGTTACATGTATTTACTACAGCAATAACAGTAAATTATGTATAATTACATGCAACTAACCCTAAACCAAACACTAATTCTCTAACCCTATAGTAAGTGCATGTTGTTAATTAATAATACTCCATACTTAACTGTATAATTACACTGTAAGAAGGAGACAAAATAACTCAAACGTAATAATAATAAAATAATAATAAAAAAAATAAGCCATTAAAATAGGTTTTCTATTTGAATATATTTTAAAATGTAATTTTCAGCCTCAGTCTTCAGTGCCACATGATACTTCAGAAATCATTCTAATACGCTGATATGCTGCTGAAGTAACATTTATTATCAATTTTGAAAATAGTTGAGCTGTTGAATATTTTTGCGGAAAGCATAATCTTATTTTTATGATCAATAGAAAGTTCAAAAAACATTTATTTAATATAATACTTTTAAGTTTTTTCACAAATATTTGTTTGAGATTTGTTTACAGTACCATCACGGACCCCGCAGAAGTTACGGGCCCCTGCTGAAGCCCCTGATTTAGAGTAATATCCTGTGGGGAAATGGCAATCACAAGCAGGTTAGCTGATGTCTCTTACTGGCCTGCGGGGCAATCATTTGCTCTGTGCTGTAAACAATCTCTGGACAACACAATGTCACGCTATGTGATGTGTACTCATTAATACTCACTAATGCTCAGTATAATTATTTAACATGACCATACAATTCTCTGACACACTGCAACATCTCATTACAAAACAAACAGCTTCTGGGGTTGCCAAGTCTTTGTTTCTCTATTTGCTTTAATTACTTTGATTTGTTCTTTGACACAATTGATTTGGCAATTACGTAAGAATTACATAATAACATGAAAGAAACATCATGTAACATCAAGCAATCAAATAGAATGATAGCTCAAATGGTCATTTAAAGGGGTCATATGATGCTGCTAAAAAGAACATTATTTGGTGTATTTGGTGTAATGAAATGTGTTTATGCGGTTTAAAGTAAAAAAACACATTATTTTCCACATACTGTACATTATTGTTTCTCCTCTATGCCCTGCCTTTTTGAAACGCGTCAATTTTTACAAAGCTCATCGGTCTGAAAAAGTGAGGTGTGCTGTGATTGGCCAGCTATCCATTGCGTTGTGAGTGGTCGAATACCTCAAGCGTGAAACGGAAATGTTACGCCCCTCACCATACTGTTGTATTCCCTCAGCGACCAGCACGGATCAGCTCTAGGCATGACGAAGCAGATATCGTCCTCTTTTGGAAGACCAAACAAAGAAGTTTCACTTTCACAACGAAGCACACAGCGTCTTCAGGATATGGCGGCGGCAACAACAATACTACAGCGAGAATAAAAGTTACGCCTTTTTTCTTTGCGTGAACATTTGGGCGGCGTTATGCAAATCTTCCCACATAGTGATGTAGATATGTGAGGGCGTGTTAGAACGAGCCGTTTTAGGTAGGTGTGGCTGACTCTTAACTTTTATAAAGAATATATCTTTGGATTTGAGACTTTAGTCTTTGCAACTTTACAGATCTTCTTTATGCACCAAGAGCTTGTAACACTTCAAAGAGAAAGGAAAAATTGAAATCGCATCATATAGCCCCTTTAAGATAAACGCATTGTATGCTGTTTACATAAACATCAGACAATTAGATCTCACAAACACATCCCAATTGAAATCGGCAGCTATTATTTGATTGGGTGCACACAGATGGATGGGTTATTATTTAATGATTCACCTCAAGAGGGCAAAAACAACGCTTTCCACAATATATTTTACTCAGGGTTTGAAATTAACACCCGACAAATGCGGGTAAAACTCAGCTGTGGCGGGTAGCGCTGTCAAATCAGTAGCCAATTTGGCGGGTTACTTTTCGTAAGTTATGTTCACTCATTAATTTCTTGGGGAAGTTCATGCAGGCCAAATCTTCAGTTTAGCGCAAATACTGAACTCGTGAGACATCATCACATTATCGAGTATATTGCAAAAACTAAACAAAACATACCTACAGAGGCACGCATACGCGACGTGATGAAGTCTGGCTAGACCAACACAGGCTGTAGTGCGCGTGCGCATTTAGAGTGAGTTCTTTCACTGCATGATTCAGTCTATTAATATGCATTAAGAATGATCACATAATTCAAGATAAAGGGGCAGAAAATGTATATATTTATATAAATTCATATAGTTAATAAATTTCACACGAAGAGTGTCGTTTTTTCTAAATAAAAAAAATCAGCATGGTTACAAATGTGATATTGATTTTATACAACAGTTCAATAAACAATACGTTAATATCAAGAGACTTACGTTTTAGACACCATATTGGCTGTTTTTGCGTTATTTCGCCAACAACAACAACAACAAAAAAATTCCAAACACAGCCATAGTACTGTTTTGCATCTCTGAGTATCATGACTCCGTATCATCAACCGTTTAAATTATTCGTTTCAATCGCAATGACTCGCTTATTAACCGTGACTTGCTGCCACCTGCTGGCGGTTTTAATTTCACATTTAAAGTATCTTTTCATTTTTTAAATAATTTCAAATATCAGTATTTCATGTTTAAAATATCAAAACATTATTTATGCATTTGTAACTGCAGGTTAAAGAATTCCATGTCCCTCTAAGCTGCATTTTTAACATGTGTAAATCTAAATGCCACTTCACATGCAACTTCTGCAAAGATGAATTTTATTAATACTGATTTCATTTGTTTAGCAACAGCCTAAATGTATTATTATTATAATTGACTGATTAAATGTAAGAATTTTACTCAAAAGAGTATGTACACTTTTAGAAAAAAAATGGCTTTATAAAGGTAAAAATGCCCATAAAAGGTAAAAATCAATTTAGACTTATTGGAAAATATTAATTTCTATCACTGCTGTGAACTGACCGCCACACAGACTATGAAGAATATCAAACACTTTAGGAGTCAGCTGTCCACGGTAGTCCTTAATATATCAGCACAATAACACACTCAGCAAAATATCGTCTAATTATCGTTATCGATAAAATATTAGAGATATTATTTTTGTCAATATCGCACACCCCTAGTACTGACACAAAATGATTTGCAACGGTCGCTTTGTCATGCCCAGTGTAGACAGCCTCAAACTGTTGATTTATTTCTGTCTTGTTGTTTGTTTGTTTTTTTTGGCTAGTAAAAGTTATGAATGGCCGGTAACTTAAAAATTTAGTAGCCAAATTGGCTGGTGAGTGAAAAAAGTTAATTTCAATCCCTGGTTTTACTAATGTTAGTGTAAGGTTGCTGTTTGGTATTTTTGGGGGTGGAACCAATATCTAACATTCCAAGAATGTTCAATTTAGGTTTTATTATTGAAACAATACACTACTATCTTTAGAACGTTCCGGGAAGTTGGGTTTGCATCGATCTTGTTTGAGGAAAGTACAACAAGGGCATATTAGCTGTTCTTTTTTAATTAGTGTGATGTCTTACAGGAACAGATCCAGTATACAGTACATGTAATGATGTCCAGTACTTCTAATAAACGGCAGAATACAGTATTGAGCAATGGTCCAGATGTAAGTACGAGAAGGAGAGATAGAGCTGGAGGAAATGAGGAGCTGGGGTTGATGGGGAGAAAAGAACAGTGTGTGAGCTGTATTTCATTTGTCCTATTAGGTTTCAAGGTGCCACTGAATACAAGACCTTTTTCCTTGAGAAAAGAAAAAGTCAATCGGAAATTCCAAGAGTCAACTGGAATTATTAATTAAGCTAAGACTTCATTCACTACATCATTGATTTTTTCCAAAGAGAAAGTTGTCACTCAGAAAGGCTATTCTTAATGTAAAAGTTAAATCAAGTCATTTCTGTATTGCCAATCTACATGAGAAAAGTTAATGTGCAACACTACACATGAAAGTTTAAGAACATCATACCACTTATACATCTGTATTCATATTCCTCCATAAATAATGACAATGTTTATTGAATTTAATGCAGATTATATTAAGGAAAAGGAATGCACAACGTCGACTCATTGTGCCTTTATATTCAACCACAGCAGAGCAATTATATTAGTCTGATAGCATGGAATTTGTATAACATCAATTAATATTCATGAGAATGAATGATGAGCTTTCACACTTTTCCCAGAGCAGACAATGAAAAGGGTATCTGGCAATAAAGTTAATCAAGTTAATTAAGATAATTCACAAGCCGGTGCTCCTAAAGATGATAAAGCGTAGTTGGAAGGATAAAACAACAGTATATTAGTTCAAATATTTAATAACATGACGTCTCCATGAAAACACCTTCACGATTCACTGACAGTCCTATAACTGCGTGTGCGCCTTGTGCGTCGTTTGAACGAGCAGAACGAGACGAACTTCAAATGGCCTGGGATTTTAATTGAGATATTTAGTCACGTAATTGAATTGTATCGGTACTTTGACAGACCACTGTTACATACATGAACCATACACGCGCGCTACCATGTCAACACGTTAACGGATGCAACTAGCAACTTACATCAGCCTACACAGTCACGATCATCGAGGGCGATTCAAGTCTCAAGTCTAATGCTTAGAAAGCGACAATGTAATGTTCTCTTTGTCAACGAAGTGCACGAACTAGTGCACGGTAGCGTCGTTGTATGCAACGAACAATAGACCGAGAGAAGCGTGCAAACTTACCTTATATGCATGCGCTGTCGTTTCGAGATGATAGTCATCGATGAACGAATAAAATCGGCGTGAGAGCGATTAAAACAGACCTTTCCGTAAACCCCTCCTATCCTATTGGAAGTGGTCACCCATCACCAGCGGATGGGACATCCCTCCTCCTCCCCCTCCTCCTCCTCTCTGGGACTCTGGCATTGATGGTGTTCAGTGATCCTCCTGACACCCCTATTCCCTCCAACTGAGAAGATGAAAGAAACCAGGAAAACAAAGAATCACGACTACACATTGAGAGAGACTGGTGAATGGCTTTTATGCTAATCTATCTATCTATCTATCTATCTATCTATCTATCTATCTATCTATCTATCTATCTATCTATCTATCTA